GGCTATAGTTGGGGATAACTTGCGGCAGGTATGACTGGCAGCTATTCCTGGGCAATAGTAAAACTCATGGTAGAACCATACTCACCATAACAGAACAGTGAAACTCAGCAGTTTTTCGTTTCCCGCAGGAGGAATCGTTGTCAGAATAACAGCGCCTATGAAGTTAGGTATAAATCCAGCAGAAGATGCCAAAGCGCATATAAGCAATCGCCGTTCGACAAGCTGGAACAGAATTGTTTTGATGAACTGCTGAATGACTCTGAGATTGAGTCGTTCTGAAATTCTTACTTACCGTTTTCCCCGACGTCATCTGTCGGCATTTAATGAAGGCGCATATGTAAAATATCGAGCACAATATTATGGTAGCTGCACTTCGTGTACAAGCAATAATGGCAAACATCTGAAACATTCAGATGGTCTATGAATACACTATCGACTAAAGAGTTTTCTTGGGGTTCTCCCCGACTGATCCGGTTCAATATCCAGGAGACATTTCCAGCCCGTACTTGACCCATACAGTGATTCACTCGCTCGCCAAATGGATCCCAGTGACTGCTTGCTGAGCCCAAAACAAAAACGGTGAGTGCAGTTTGTCTCAATTGAGTGGAGGAGCCATTAGAATGGTCATTTCTGCCTCATGTGTATGCTGTCAGTGGTAAAAATTCCTCATCAATCCGGGGTCAGTCCGAGGTCCATCCCCGGACCGTGAGTGTTGTGGGTAGACTTGGCCCTATCCTACCTGTTCGAATTACATAAGACACCGATCATAAGGATTCCATGACAGACTCACATGATCCATAACGGGGCTGGACAAGCTGGCCGATCCGTCGCTGCTGACAACGAAATGAATTGTGTGTTCATATAAAATGATAAATGGAAGCGGATGTATAATGAAGATTGCCCATAGTGTAAAAACACTTGCGAATACGGTAAATCGATTCCAGATCTGGAAATGAGTCTTCAAGTTAACAGAAAACCTGTTCTTTTTTACATAGAGAATTCAGCTAACATTTTATGGTCTCACTGCAAAGTACAGAACATTTGAAGGCACAGTTCATGACGAAAACAGTTTCTGAGATTTACCACTACGATGAACCCTTGGCCTTCAAGGATAGCTTGTGGGACATTGCTATGACAAAAAACAAGAGGGACAGCACGTTCTAAGGGCTCCGAAACCGGCTTACCCGCCACGCGCACACCCAAGAATGGTCGAGTAATAACCCCCTTGTTAGGGCTGGAATAGTACAATCATGCGGGAGAGACCCAGACGATCACAGACACATCATCTCGTACAACAACCTTTATTACAACTTTTTGAGCTTTATATTTTTCGGAACCAACAAATTTTGGAGTTTTCATCGCATTTGTGGGCCATTGCGCTACAGTAAGCAAAAATGATTCATGGTGGCGCCATACATTTGAACTGCCTCTGCGATCAACCGATTGCATGTTTAACGTTTGGGTCCCGATGCGAATAGGGCAACACCACAACTCGTCCGTCTTTGGGCGTGGCCGTCACCCAAGAAGGTTTCGTGGCCCTCGAAAAGCCCTATGCAGTCCGTCTTTCAGCCCAACAGGTCCTTCAGGCTACTCTCGAGGACTACAGATTCCACAGGTGGGTAGGATTCTCAAAAGCCAATTTTATCGTGAACTGTGCCTTTATCTATATAGCCCTTGAAGTCAGATAAGCACCTACCTTTTCGTAGTTATTTGGCTTGTAGAATGCAGTCATACGATTCAAAGCAATAAGTACATGGCCACAACTTATCAGGGAACTCGATATGACTATGGTAGTATACGAAACAACCGCAAGTTTATGCATTTTATCCAACGACAGATTGAAATAGTTGAAAGCGGCCGGTTTCTGTATCAACTCGATGGCAAGGAAGGCATAAAAGTCAGCTACAGCTTGTAACATGAACAGTGTGTAGTAGGATGAACGGAACTGCTGTTTTCCAAAACTGCTTTGATGCCGCCATTTTATAATTTTCATAACCATGTAGAGATACATACAAATCGAAAACCAACCATAGATTGACAGCAATATCTGCCCTTTAGGGACAGTAGCCATCTTTCTGAATCAAATAAAAGTCAAATAAAAGGATAAAGTTTTCGGAGTTTATCAATAGCTCTTGGATGCGCCACGACTTCGACTTTCACTCAGAATCCCAGTGGTGCTTGGAAAGGCGTTTGTGGGGCAGACAACGACTTATACGTGCAAAAGATTATGGTGGTAAGTCTATGAACGAGCAAACAGCGATTTTGTCTTCCCAGGCTGATTAACTATTCATCGAACAAGCGCAGGTAGGAAAGCTCGGTTGCTCCTGGTGGGGATTCGCCTGGGATACAACAAAGGAAGCTCTTGTGAAATTATAGTATGGCACAAGTGCCTCCACTATTTCAAGAGGGTCTGGTACCAATTTGCCATCTACGAAAGTCTCCAATCATCCGAATCTCTGTATGAGAGATCTTAGCGGGGCTTCAGAATCAGATGACTACGGAAGTCCCCTCATCTTCTGCTTAGCTCTATTCCTACCGATTCACCCAAGGGATGCCGCGGTCATTACGAGCAAGCGATCTGTCCCTCTAGCCATTAAATTACTATAAGTTTGATTACCTCTTTGATTATTTACTTTAAGAATGGAGATCTGGTCTGTTACTCCTCCCACAGGTACCACTCGTTGGATGGGAGAGTTTTTATAATCGCTATGTCTGATTAGGTAGGGGAAACGTCTACAGGATCTAGAAGATCCTCGACAATGTATGAACGCGACTAGATTGGGAGGCGACGGGTCTCCATACTGAAGGAAAAATTCATCAAAAAGGGCATGTACTGGAAATAGTCTTTTAATGAGTACCTAGCCTATTGCGTGATAAGGAAATTGTTAACAAAGTTGATTATGTTCACAGAATCCCGGCTAGAATGGGAGCAATACGTGTTTGCAGTAAGGTTAGCAGGAATAAAACCTCGACGTTTGCAATTCTGCGGAAATTAAATTGCTAGTTTTGTGCCTGCTACAACAGCAACATCCCCATGGGTATTGTGAAGTAGATTATACAGTAGTAGTTGTAGTAATTATACAAATACTCAGTCATCAAGTTCCAGAAAAACAATTAAAAACAGTGATCGTCAATTCCTAGGAGCGAACAAAATAAGCTTTATTCTGATGCTTACAGATCAGAACCGTCGGTAGCCTCTCGGAACCTACTTGGTACCTAATGAAAAAAGGAAAGCTAATCTCTTCATTAAATTAGGCTGATTTTCGGTAATGATGTAAAAACTCGAACGTTTTGGCAAATATAAAGTCTAAAGTCTTCATGGTCCCATTCCAGATCTTTCCAGAGATCTTGGGATCTTTTCCGAGTAAGTGGGAAACCACAAAGAGCTCCTCAACGGCGGTTCTGCTTCGTTCCCCAATCGACACGGTGGACCACTTCCGTTTCAACGATTTTACTCAACAGATAACATACCGGATAACTCTTCAGAGGATAGGACAGTTCCTTAAAGGCACTGTTCATGAAAAAATGGTTTCGGATATCTGCACATGGTTTGAATTCGACGCCCCTCTGATACCATTTGTGCAGAAATGAGGTCGGAAAACGGTCTGGATAGGGCACAATAAAGGCAGGAACAGTGGGGGACGGGAGGCCTCCGCCCCTCGCT